TTTTCCAGTGGACGAAAAGAAACTGAAAATATGCGGTAAATATTAATCAATTTCAATGAAAGTATTACATTTAAATATTTATATATACACTGATTGATCACAAATAATTTAAATATTTATAGAGAAATATATCTAGCGATAAAGTTTTACATATTATTACGTCTCACATAAATGTGCAAACTAATTCAGTTTAAATAATCACTCACGCGATGAACAGTTTCCAAAAGTGTATGATTTTCACTACTGTGAATAATGATAATATATAATATTGTTTTGGATACATAGCTGGATGCTTAAAATCTTTGTCGATGAATTATAATTATAAACATATTAATAAAGAAATATATATATTAATGATTTTTAGGATAAAAATAAATAAGACAAAAACCATATTAAACAAGTTACTTGCAAAAATCAAATATGAAGAAATTGATGATGCAGACGAACTTAGAATATGTTTACGACAAGAAGCTGCAAGATGGGCATGTTTCTCGGTGACATCACTTGTATGAAGAAAGCGAAAAATAAATTAGAACAACATCTCCAAGATCCTATAAAACACAGGTAAATTATGTTACATATTTTTAGTTTTCTCAATCAAATTTTTTGTAGATATCTCCTATAATGTTCAAATGAGTTGATACGCCAATCTTTAATAATAAAATTAAATTTTTTTGTATTTTAGACTTTTGCCATGGTGGACGGCATGGACATATTGTAGAGGTTTGATGATAACTACTATGAATGAGACCACTCTTGAATTAATGTATATTAGAAAAGTGGAAGCAACTGACATTAAATTTTCAGAATACATGGCTTGCATAAACTATACTGATTTCATCAAAATGTATTTATTTCATAAACAGCACTCTAATACAAGAGAGGAAGATCAATTTCTCGTTAACAGTTTCTTACATTTTATTACGAAGCATGCGAAGAATCCAATTATACTGCAGTATATAGTCCAGAATTTTAACGAAATAAAACTAAAGTAAGTAACATATTTTTATAAATATTTTGTACAAAAGTTTATTATATGTATTATATATATACATTTTTTGTTTTTAGAAATGTTAATATAATTGCAGCATTAATTATTATGATTAATAACGTATATTCCGAATATTTAGCTGAGGTAAAAATTTTAACATGTTTAAATATGTATACAAAATATGATAATAATGCGATATTAATAATTATATTTAATGTTTAAAATATTTTGATAATGTTACCATAACGTTATTTATTAATAATGGTATTGAAATTATACATTTTAGAAAATAATGATGAACGCTTACAGTATTCTAGAAACTAACTTAGTTGAAGTAAATAACACAATTAGAAGACATCAAAAGAAGACGGTAAATTTAATAAATATTATTATAAAAAGCAAAAGAAAATAAAATATTGTTCTAGCTTATTAATTTCTAAATATCATTTTTATATTTGTTTTATTTGTTATATAAACAGTATATTAATTTCAGTATGCAAATCTTTGTTTATAAATATTATTTTATAATGCGGAATGAGATTACTATTTATTTTATTTTTTATTATTATTAATAAAACTATTTGTTTCAGATAAGTGACAATGTGATTAAAGAGATATACAGCCAAATTAAAATCGGGTTTCATTTCGCAAAAACAAATCGAGAAGCAGAGACAATATTTTGAAAGGTTTTTCTTCTAATCGGTGGATGTAAAAAAAATTGCAGCTTTTTATATGTGGACGTACCTCATATGAATTTTTTTCATATAATTTTTTTATTTTGTACGTACTACTTCTTTTACTGCTTTAAATATTGTTTATTTAGATGTATTACTATCCGATGCCTTTATATTTACATTTATAAAAGTATGACTGCATGCATCAAGATTTTTATTTTTTTTTGCGATCTTGTTTGAACCAGTTAAACTATATATTATTACAGAAATTAATTAATTTGTACATTTAATATTATTAATTATGTAGAATTTGTGATAGATTAGCATTTTCTTAGTTTACAATAAATAACATGACAATTTTCTCTCTCTCTCTCTCTCTCTCTCTCTCTCTCTCGTAATGTAAATCCACATTTTAATTTTAAATGTTATTAATATTAATATTTATACAATTTAATAGCATAACTTTAAAATTGTAGAACATAATTTAACATTCCTAGCTGAGAGAAAATAGATTTAAAAATACTGCAAAATGTGTCAATCTAAATTGTAACTTACAATTATATTTAAAAGAGATTTAAGCAAAGCTAGAAAAGAAAATAATTTTTTAAAACGTTTGTCACAAGTTGATGGTTGCAATAAGTGCGCGTCTAACTTGTGCTTCGTCCAATCAACGCGATAAATTTTAATATTATAAAATTATCTTATTATTTAATTTCCATTATTTCGTTTCTTTCTATTCTTAATGATAAATGTCGAATTTCTTTTCGCAAAGTAAAATTTGTACAACAATTTTATAACATGAACAAAAATTCGAAAAAGATCGGAAAACAATTAAAATATTTTAAAACCTTTCTGTAGTTCATCGATTAGAATATGAAAACGGAGCTATAATATGTAATATACGCACATATTAACGTATACTTAATTCAAGATTCGTAATATTCAAATAATTTATGACACATAAAAATTTATCGAATAAAATGCCTTTAAAATTGAAAAATATTATAATTTACACATAAAAGAAAATAAATATCAGACTAAACACATGTCTGTGTGTGTAAATTTGTAGTACGCATTTTTAATAGATATTTATGATTGATTTAATACTTTAATTGATATTTGAGTAATTGTGACACTTAACATATAATACTGTAAAAAAGAAGAATCAATTATTAACTTCTTTAGACATTTAAATAAAAATTAATGATAATTTAATTTAATTTTTACTTATACAATTAAAATCAATTTAATGTTTTACATATTGCCAAAAATTAAATTGACACATATAAAAGAGTATCCGCGCATTGAAAAAATTATTAAATTAAAAATATTTTATTTCTATACAGCTATATAAATCATTTATTTGATACAAATAAATAATTATCTGTTTTAAAAAGAATTTTCTTACATTAAACAATAAATATTTTTAACATCTAATCGATATCATTAGTTTCAAATAAATTATTTTTATTATACAGAAGTATTGAATTAAATATTTTATTTAAATTAATAAAAATTTTATTGCGCTATCAGAGAGTTTTGATAAAATAAACTTTGTTAAAAATTTTTAGAGGCCTTCTATGTATAACATAATATATGTTCGGAAGATAAAAATATAATAATTTTTTATATAATTATCAATTATAGAATATTTTTAATTTTACAAAGAAATTTGTAATTTAAATTCGCAACAATTGTTGTCACATCTGATTTGATGTATCGTGATAGTTCATTAAAAAGTCACGATTTATAATCAAAATTATATTCTATTTTGGCTTTAACCCTAGTTTATTTATTTAGTATATATATATATATATTTATAACATATACATACAGGCGTAAGTAGGCACAATATTGTGCATAAACATGTGTATAAACAAATGTATATTTCTAACCAAAAAAATATAAAGTAATCCATTTTAAATAACGTATTTTTGTTATTTCAGAACCAAGATTTCTCTTCCGAAAAATATACTTTATACAACATTTATAGAATTTGAAAGAAGCGTCGCGTCGTAAATATATGATCTTATTTCAGATGGAGACATTTTTGAGATTTGATAGTTATTATTATATTTTTAAACGTTTTATGTTTAATACTGACAAAAATATAAAACATCTTGTAATATATTTATCTTCCGATATTATTATAGCTGAATAAATTTTTGCACGAAATAATGTGGATAAATTGATTCGTATAAAAAAAACACTCCAGTGATTTAAAGAAAATTGCAATTTATAGCAATGTGCAACTATATACATTTTTCTTAAATTATGATATAAGTAATATATATATCTATAGATATAAGCACCGTCTGTCTGTCTGTCTGATCGCGAACTACTTCGACATTTATGGACCAATTTTTGTGAAACAACTACCAAAATGTTGCAAATTTTTCGGGGATGGATGTTCTGTTTTTAAGTTTTACACTCCCACCCACGCAATCGCATATTTATGGACCAATTTTTTCAAAATTGGTACCACAATTTTGCAAATTTTTCAAGGAATGTGAAAGTAGTTCGAAATAGTGGTCAAACAGACAAACAGACAGACATACAGACAGACTTAAATAGTCTAAAGAAAACTTAAAAATCTCATTGTCGCACACCTCCATAAATTTGCAACATTAAAGAAAATCCGAAATCTTTTACGGCAAATGTTATATACAAAGAGGTTTTGTAAAATGAAAAATTGTATGAAAACTAATAATAGCGGGGTCAGTGTTGAGAAAAGTGTATAAATAATGCCTATTTATTTGATTAATTTAGCATCTTTTAAATGTGCTAGGCTCAATTAAGACAACTGTTACACATAAATGCCGCTACACACATAAATATATATGTAAATATATATACATATAACGACCTCAAAAGTTTTGTTGACCTAACACATTATATTTATCATGAAGACACGTACAGAGAATCAGTCAGTCTTTCGTGGTCTTTCGAACCGCGTGGTGGTAAATATAATCTTTTTAATAAAGTGTGTGAATATATTATATTCTTCCAACATTGCATACTTCTAAAGCATTAATTTGCTGCAGTTCATTTTAAAACAATATATAGTTCTAATCAATATAATTTTCCAATTGACATTCTGTTTCGAAATATTCGGTAAGTCAAAACAATTTTCATACATATTAAACATATATGTGTTCATACATATTATACATTTACTACAGATTCAAGAAAATTTAATCATACGGTAGGACGGAATTTTATAGAATTTCCAACATATGTATAGAAATAGAGAGAATAGTTTTATTCAAAATTATTTGTAAATTTTAATCCTAAGATAATTTCAAATAATATCGATAATATAATATTTTACGAATTGTAATATGTTTAGTGAATTATTAGTTTTATTAGGTGAAATGTTGTAATAAATTTAGAGACGTTGTATTATCGTTATTCAGTTTAATTCTGCATTTAAAATATTATAAATGACTTACAATAACCGCGAGGTATAACTTTCGCTTGCAAAATATAATTTTATTTGTTTTTTCTTCAGCGAGTTTGCTGAGCGAGTGACAAGTTATCGATTCTCCGGTCACCTGTTTATATCGGTTAAGCTGTTATAATTTGTTTGTTTTGGTACTTTGTCTTTCGTTACCTGTTTCTTATGATTGTTTCGCTCGTTGTCATATATATACATATATTCGATCGCCGACTTTTGTTTACAATTTGATTTAATATTTTAAAATAAAATTGAAATATAAAATAAATTTTAGTTCCGGTATTTAACGTCACAGTTAAAATAATCTTGAACCCACCAAAGTTTGATATCGAATATTTTATTTTTGAAAGTTGCAAATATACTACAGTTAACAGATAATGTATATTATAATAGACACTTTTAATTGTTTTTTTATTACTAATTTATTAAAATTCTGTTTTCCAAAGTTTCTCGTACTTTTTATTATTTATAAAAAATATCTGTATGTATTTTAATACTTACTTGTGATGACAATATATTGAAGGTTGCGTAGTCCTTGGCTATTATTTTATCACGGTTCGATAAAAAGTTTCATTCGAATAATATGTTCACGGTTTTTAATTTTAAGTACACTTGAGAAGGACCAAAACCCATGGTCGAAACGTTGGGTGGTGATTATTAAATATTTATTAGCCAGTAATGGTCATAAAAATTAATTATCCTTTCAAATATATTGAAATTAATAATTATTAAAATTTAATTTTTACTTATTATTAAGTTGTATTTCTCAAACGTATTAGTATTCTACTATCAGTATATATACAAAATAGAAGTCAAAATAGTAATTCGGCTAATTAAAATTGATCATTTTTATATTATCAAGCAACTGTCATCGCAAAAATTAACAATTTGACAATTGTAAAATGAATAATAGAAATAATATCAAAAGCGTGCGCCAAGCGCGCTCTTGTGTCGTCTAGTGATTTAAAAAACACATCAATACTATATTTAATTTCTTTATTTGTCTTTTGCTTACAGTGTGTTTTACAGACCTAAAATAAATTTTCCGACACGATGATATTTCTAAACCTACTATTAATTAGCGGAATAATGTATATTGTTGGGACGGCTTCTACTTTTAACGAATCATCTTTATGCTATAAACCATCAAAATATATAAAACCAAATCATTACGATATCAACTTTATATCATATATTGAAAAATACATTTTCTATGGAGAATACAATATTAGCATAAGCATTCTTAACAAAACGCAAAATATATTAATCAACAACATATATTCAGAAAAATTATATTTTAAAAATATAGTTTTAATTAAAAATCTAGAAAAACATCATGAGAATATTAAGTATACAGTTTATAATCCGATATATGATTTTGAAGAAGACATAATTGACCTTTCTTTTAAGGATGAGTTATTACCAGGAAATTACACTTTATATATTAAATATTTTGGTTTTACTGATGAAGTCTTTAGAATTTTTGATGTAAAAAAGAATTCTCGTAAGTAAATAATATATGTTTATTAAATCAATGTGCAATGTGCAATTACATAAAATCTCGTAATTAATATATATTATTTTTGTATTAAATGTTTCGAAAATTATTATATATCATGCAATTTAAATATAAAGACTACTAATTTTATACCTTTAATGCATATTATTACATATTACATTTAAACATTTTTAAATTTCAACATTTTGATGCTTGCTAAAAATGTTTCATTAATTTATGTTCTTTGAAATGTATAGTTTGGTAGCTGCTACTCATTTGCATATAATAGGCACCCGACAAATGTCATCGTGTTGGGATGAAAAGTATTTATTCTTAGAAGCAACCTTTAACATATCTATAGGATGTAATCAATGCACGGCTTTGTCAAATATGCCATTGCATAATACAGAAAAAAACAAGCACAATATATTATTGAAACGCTTCGATACCACACCTGCAATGTCGCCGTATCTTGCAACAATAATTGTATCCAATTGCTTATTATGTGTTGATAATTATACTCAAAACATTGAAAGGTGGTGCAGAAACAGATCTGTATTTCACATGGAATTTGCAGAAAATGTAGCTGAAAAAATCTTGTTGTTCTTTAAAAATAAATGGAAACAACATTCGAACAATATTTCGAACTCATGTTGCAATGCCAAATTTCCCTGATAATGGCATAATAGTTTTCGGACTTGTTTTTTATAAGTGAGTGCAAGTACTTAAAATTACTTTAAAAATAAAATTATATATTAGTATGCAGAATTATAAAATTGAAAAACATGTAGGTATATCTTTGGTTCTGTAAACTTGCGAAAGTATAAGTTATTGTAAAAACAACAATTTTAAGTAGTAAAAATTAAAGTAGAAAATTGAATGTCAGTAAGATTTAACCAATGGGAATATATTTAAAACGACCGCCTGGCTATTATTAATGGTGTTGATTTATTTGTGCAGCAAGGTTTCGACCCTGAATTGCGTCTTCTTCAGGTTAATCAATACAAAAAAATTACAAATTATACAATATAAATAAAAAAGTCTAAGAAATGATGTACAAAGAGCAAAGTCAAAAAATATATAATAAAAATATAAAAATTATCAAAGTTAATAAATAAAAAGTTAGTTTGACCAATGTAACACGCCGAGCAATCCTTGCAATCAATTTTATAGACGACGTTCGTTCTTTTGTTAGGTAAAAGTATATCTTTCCCTTTTTTTATTATGCTATGGAGCCTGTTAAGAACCGTATATAAATTAATTTCTACTTTTTGTTATATGTTGATTCACACGTTCGTGAACAAATATCTACTATCTGATTATTTAAGATGTATTAATTAACATTGACGTTTAACATCAGGTTACTTTTTATTTATTAATTTTGATAATTTTTTATATTTTTATTATATATTTTTTGACTTTGCTCTTTGTATATCATTTATTAGAATTTTTTATTTGTATTATATAATTTGTAATTTTCTTTGTATTGATTAATATGAAGAGGACCTAATTCAGATTCAAAACGTTGTTGCACAAATAAATCAACACCATTAATAATAGCCAGTTGATCGTTTTAAATATTTTCCCATTAGTAAAAATTAAGTTTATTTTTATAATTAACAAAGTTTGAGTTTGTTGACATTTTTTTATTCATTTAAAAATATAGTTATTTATCAATGATACGCGTTATTCACTGTTAATAATTAAAAATTTAAAGAATTATTATTTGGTATGATTAAAAATACTGATTTGCTACCTTGTACTCATGAGTTTGTAAATTGTACATCTAACAATAAAATTAGAAAATTACAACAAAAATAAAATTTTATTTTCTATAAAAGTTCTCAGTCTAACATTTAAATATAACTTTCAGCGAAATGGATATCGTTTACAATAAAAACTTATATCCTGTTGCTCGCAAAATCGAAGTATCTCGATTAGTAGGACATAAAGTGACACAGCAATGGTTTTATAATCTGAGCAATCCATTTCAATTAGCTTGGTTTAATAAAGCTCTTACTACATTGCTTGCAACGTATGCTGTCAATGAGGTTATTCTAAATATTTTCAACGCTATCACCTTCCACTTTCTCGGAAACGATAACATACTTAAGCATTTATATAGCAACCCAATAAACACTGTTCTGTAACTTTTACAGACCATTTACAAAACAGTTGTTCGCGGTTCTGGTAACCGTTATGTCAACTATTAAGTAACATTTAGATGGAAATGTCAGCAACATTATGCCTGTATATGATATGTAATAGATACATAAAATTTAAACGTAATAGATACATAAAATTGGATATAAAATTACGTAACTATTACAGAATCTATATTAAATATTATTAGTAACATTTACATAACATTTACAGAACATTTACAGAACATTTACATAACATTTACAGATAAGATATTCTCTGTTCAGGTAACCGATATGTCAACTATTAAGTAACGTTTAGATGGAATTGTCAGCAACATTATGCCTGATATGATATGTAATAAATACATAAAATTTAAACCTAACAGATACATAAAATTTTATAAAATTACGTAACTAATACAGAATCTCTCTATAATAACCATTATGTAATTTTTTTTTATAAAAGATAGCACATATTTGTTTTAGAAATGTTTCATAATAAGCAGCTCTCGGAAACGTTTTTACTGATTATCTATTCGAAAAATATTAAGGAAAGCGTTTTAGAGTTTAAGATAATGTTATATTAAAAATTTTTATTTTATTCGTGTTTTTTTCACAGAAAGTAAATAATATAATGAAGATATTTTCACTCAGTCTCGTCGGATATTTCTTTATCTGATTTCTGAGGAATCAGATAAATAAATACTTCAATATCTGAATTGAATTTTCTTATGTTGAGATCATGTCACAAAGAATAATCTCATTATTCTTTGTGACATGATCCCAACATAAGAAAATTCAATTCTATATTAACACAGATGTTACTGTCAATTTCATCAACTTTAAACTTTCCTGACTAAAATTTGAATGCGAGATAGATAAAGAATCGTACACCGCGTAGCGGTAAAAGAAGAAACTAACAATTATTACACAACTATGACGTATCGTTTATGTCAATAACGTAATGAATCTATAATTCTTACATAAAATTGTTATGTAATTTTGGCGTTACTTTGTTATGTAATATTTATGTTTTTGGTTAATGTAAATGTGTATACTCTAAAAGTTTCGTAAATACTACGTAATTTTAATGACATAATTGTAACGTTATGTTAAATACGTAACATTTATGTATTTTGGTTAATGTAAATGTGTACACTTTAAAAGTTTCGTAAATGCTACGTAATTTTTATAACATAATTGTAATGTTATGTTAAATATGTAACATTTATGTATTTTGCTTAATATAAATGTGTATAATCTAAAAGTTTCGTAAATGCTATATAATTCTAATAACTATAATTGTAACATTATGTTAAATACATAACATTAACATTATTTTGTTGACATCAATGTATACATTCTGTAAAAACTTTATTATAACCGTTATATATAGTTATAATAACGAAATTGCGATATCTTTTTTTATTTAATGTGACATCGCAATTTCGTTATTATAATTATATAATGGTTATAATAAGGTTTTTACAGAATATATACATTGATATCAACAAAATAATATTAATGTTACATATTTAACATAACGTTACAATTATGTCATTAGAGTTATATAGCATTAATAAAATTTTTTAAATATACACATTTACATTTTCCAATATACGTGAATGTTACGTATTTAACATAACGTTACAATTATGTCATTAAAATTACGTAGTATATTCAAAAATTTTAGAATATGTGCATTTACATTTATCAAAATACATAAATATTACGTATTTAATATAACATTACAATTATGTCATTAAAATTACGTAGTATTTACGAAAATTTTAGAGTATGCACATTTACATTTATCAAACTACATAAATATTACGTATTTAACATAACGTTACTATTACGTAATTAGAGTTATGTTGTATTTATGAAACTTTTAGAGTATACACATTTACATTCACCAAAATACATAAATGTTACGTATTTAACATAACGTTACTATTATATCATTAAAATTACGTAGCATTTACGAAAATTTTAGAGTATGCACATTTACATTCACAAAGAAACATAAATGTTACGTATTTAACATAACGTTACAATTATGTCATTAAAATTATGTAGTATTTACGAAACTTTTAGAGAATGCACATTTACATTCACCAAATTTCATAAATGTTACATAACAAAGTAACGTTAAAATTATATAACAATTCTATATAACAATTATAGATTCATTACGTTATTGACATAAACGATACGTCACAGTTTCGTTATGATGATCTGTAATATATACATATAAAACATTATGTAATTATTACGTAAATAATCCCTGCGTGTTTACTGGGAAGATTTTCGTATATCAAATTATTTTTACAAAATGCATAAATTCTTGCTAAATTATTTTAAAAACATTTAGCAATATATACATATGTATACAATATTGAACTGTTTTTTAAATATTTACATTCATATAAATATAATGTGAACAATGCAAAGTATGAAACAAAATTTTTTTTAACACTCCCTTTCCACACTTTATCTGATATTTTTAAATATTTTAAATTTTATTATTATATTTATTCGTATGTTTTACAAAATGAGAAAGTGTTATTTTTAATATAGAAGAACCGCTAATAATATTAGTATTTTTTTCTCATGCAAGTATGTTCAGAGCAATTATATTGATATAATAATTATTTTTTTTATAGATGTATCCAGATAATCGAATAATAAATTTATTTGTTGTTCAAAATCAACATACTTCTTTTTATTTAGATGATTGTAGTATGTGGAATTCTACTTTACGAGATTACAGTTTCTTGAAAATTCGCGAATCCATCAGAGGTATAGAACGTAATGTAATAAAATAATTTGCAAAAATTTTGAACTATTAATATTATAAAAATATGTGTAAAGTTATAAGATAATTAATTCTTCATCTAGATTTTATTGGAAAAATGAGATTATAAAAGTACACACACACACACACACACACACACACACACACACACACACATACACACACACATATGCATATTTATGTATATTCTTTAATTAATATTTAAAATATATACATATAGGTACATATCTATAAACATATTTTTATGTATACATATACCTGTATATATATATATATATATATATATATATATATATATATAAAATTTTTCTTTATAATATCACTACGGTAACATGTAACTATTATAATAAATATATATATTTATATTATATCTAATTTATAATTTTGATGTAAATTGTAGCACCCTGTATACTGCGCATGATGCAACACGCCGTAACCAAAGAAATATTTCAAAAAGGAGTTGGCTCATATACAAATAGCACGTGAGTATATAATATAAGAAAATAAAATCATTTAAATCTTAAATAATTTATTATAATACAAATTTTATATATTGTCCCTTATTATTTCGCTTTTGCTGACATTATTTCATATTGCTTTTTTTTAGTTTTACAATTCCGCTTTTTTCCTACATCTGCTACTAGATTTACCTTCACTTTCGTTACTTTTACTATCAAAAACCGCTTTTGTTGAAACAATATGTTGTTTTTTTACTTTTTTATATAATACATATATTCAACGTTGTTTTATTATTGTTTCATAATTTATTATTTTCCAAAATCATTTTTAAATTAATTTCTATTTTTTTATTAATTCCTTTTCTTCATATCGTCTATAAGTCTTATAATATCTGTTTTTTTTAATTGAATTTTGTGCTACATTTGTTTTTTAATGTTATTTTAAATATATCTGACACGTATATCTTTTTTTTGTTACTTTCTTTATTTTTATTTTATTTCTTTCGTAGAACAATCTCTTTTATTATATTTTTATTATTTCTTGTTTTGTTTTTATTTTCATTTGATTTGTTTAGTTATTTCTTTTATTAATTATTTTATAACTCTCTCAATCTCTTTGATCAAATATAATCTGTATTATTAATGCCTAACAAATTAAATAAAATTATTAAATTTTATTTAATATAATGTTATTATCATAATTCAAATAGAAATGCAATTATATTCTGCTTCTTAGTATTTATTAAAATTTCTCATAATATTAAAATTATACATACAATTTTAACATATTTATAATGTTTTTTTTGCATAATTTACATACATTGTGGATTTAGCCAATTTCATCGTCAAAGTTTTATGACTTTTTGGAAGAAGTTGTTGCTGATGCAAAAATGTAGATATTGATATATCATTACAAACAATGAAATATTGGACTTTGGAAGAACATTGTCCTCTCATTAAAGTAGTACAAAATTATACTAATTCTCGGAGCCATTATAATATATCGATACAAAATTCCGACATATTAAAAATTAATTGCGTTCCTGTAACTTATACTATCCAGTCGGTTCCCGATTTTGACAGTTTGATGCACCGCCTTTTATGCAAATCAAATAATATAGTTCTTATAGTCACACATAAAGAGCGTGGTTGGATTATAGTAAATGTACAACAAATAGTTAAATATCGACCAATGGACTTATTATGACTTATTACTCGTCTTTATTTTACACACGTACACAATTAACATTATTTTATATTTTTTCTGTTTTATACATTATAAGATATAAATCTGAGATATTCATTATATAACTACTATAGTTTTAAACGTTTTGTGTAATGTTCTGCTGTATTATTTTATATAATTAATAAAATGTATATATCGGTGTTTTCAACATAATATCAATCAATATTAAAGTCATATTTTTACAAATATTTTATTCTAATCATAGTAAAAATGATTAAAATGTTAATTATATTTATAAAATTAGTATACTTATATAAATATACAAATGAAATAAAATTTTTGTACAGTTTTATGTTATATACAGAAATTTTACTGATTAGTATAAAATAATTATTATATATGCACAACTAGAATCAATTTTATTTTATGCTATACAACAATATCTCGCACAATTTCATTTATAATTTATAATTAATTTTCAATATGTATTTGCATGTTATTGAATTTTTGATACGTTTTTAATTTATAATTTATATAAACGAAACTATTAAACAAAAATGTTTGAAGTTAAATATTTATTAATAATAAAAATTATTCAAAATAATAAAAATTGTTAAAATTTATTTATTATTTGACAGGATATTACCGCGTTAACTATGATGATGAGAATTGGCGAAGAATTTCAGATTATCTATACTATGATGATTTTACGACAATTCATGTTCTTAATCGTGCCCAAATTATCGATGATGCATTTCATTTAATGATAGCAGGCCAACACAAAGTCTCTATATTCTGGAATATTATATCGTATTTGTATCGAGAAGAAGATTATATCGCATGGTATCCTATGTTTAAAGCTCTGGAATACATGTTTAGTATTTTTCCAGTGGAAGAAAAAACTGAAAAATTTGCGGTAAATATTAATCAATTTCAATGAAAGTATTACATTTAAATATTTATATATACACTGATTGATCACAAATAATTTAAATATTTATAGAGAAATATATCTAGCGATAAAGTTTTACATATTATTACGTCTCACATAAATGTGCAAACTAATTCAGTTTGAATAATCACTCACGCGATGAACAGTTTTCAAAATGTATGATTTTTACTACTGTCAATAATATTAATATATAACATTGTTATTGGATACATAGCTGGATGCTTAAAATCTTTGTCGATGAATTATAATTATAAACATATTAAAGAAATATATATTTAATGATTTTTAGGGTATATTTAGGCTAAAAATTATATTAAACGACTTACTTGCAAAAATCAAATATGAAGAAATTAATGATGCAGACGAACTTAGAATATGTTTACGACAAGAAGCTGCAAGATGGGCATGTTTTCTCGGTGAAATCAATTGTATGGAAGAAGCGAAAAATAAATTAGAACAACATCTCCAAGATCCTATAAAACACAGGTAAATATTGTTATATATATTTAGCTTTTCTTAATCAAATTTCCATGTAGATATCTCCTATAATGTTCAAATGAGTTGATACGCCAATCTTTAATAATAAAATTAAATTCTATTTATATTTTAGACTTTTGCCATGGTGGAAGACATGGACATATTGTAGAGGTTTGATGAAAACTACGAGAAATGAGACCACTTTTGAAACAGTGTATAATAGAGGATTAAAAAAAACTGACATTAAATTTTCAGAATACTTGGCTTGCATTGAAGATATCGATTTCATCAAAAAATATTTAAGTCGTAAACAGGACACTTATACAAAACAGGAAGATCAATTTCTCGTTAACAGTTTCTTACATTTTATTACAAAGCAGGCGAAGAATCCAGATATATTGTCGTATATATTAGATAATTTTACCAAAATAAAACCAAAGTAAAGTGACATATTTTTATAAATATTTTGTACAAAAGTTTATTATATGTATTATATATATATATATATATATATATATATATATATCTGATTTTATTTTTGTTTTTAGAAATGTTAATATAATTGCAGCATTAAGTATTATGATTAATAACGTATATTCCAAAAATTTAGCTCTGGTAAAAATTTTACATGTTTAAATATGTATACAAAATATGATAATAATGCAATATTAATAATTATTATTTAATGTTTAAAATAATTTTGATAATGTTACACGCGAACGTTGTTTATTAATAATAGTATTAAAATTATACATTTTAGAAAATAATGATGAACGCTTACAGTATTCTAGAAACTAACTTAGTTGAAGTAAATAACACAATTCATTATAGAAGACTTCAAATAAAGGAGGTAAATTTAATAAATATTATTAAAAAAAGCGAAAAAGAATGAAATATTGTTCTATCTTATTAAATTCTGAATATAATTTTTATAAAAATAAAATCTCGACGGCAATCGGAGCCTATGCGGATGACATGCACAAAATTAATAAATTAAAATGAGATCTCTTTTAGATATGTTGACGATATCGCGTTGGCGGCCCCACCCTCCATGCTTAAAATAGTTTTAAACACTTTCAATTCTTTCCATCCTAGATTGCAGTTCACCATGGAGGAGGGGGTTGACAACCGATTGAATTTTTTAGATGTCACCATTATTATAAATAATGGGAGCATTGAGTTTGATTTGTTTCATAAGCCGACGTATTCAGGTAGATATTTAAATTTTGAATCGCAGCATCCTCTCTGTCATAAAAAGGCACCATTATCAGCCTCATAGATAGAGTTTTTTGGCTATCTCATCCGAAATTCCATAAAGTTAACTTTGAGTCTATGATTGGAATTCTTTTGTCTAATAATTATCCTCTCAATTTAATATTTCATACATTACAAGCGCGGTTAAAAAAGTTGTTCTTCCGCTATAATAATAAGTTGCATAACAATAGAGCAAATGTATGCAATGACAAGATTCTAACGCAGAAAAAAGTTTCGTACTTTAATATTCCGTATATTAATAATGTATCGAAGAGAATCGAGGACATTACACGTGATTTGGATGTCATTCCATCATATACAGCAATTAACAGTCTCCGTAAATTCATTAAAGTACACAAGGATAAGTTACCAAGAGAGCTCCATAATAATGTAGTTTATAAAATTGATTGTATGGATTGTGATGCGTCGTACGTAGGGCAGACGGGTAGATTGTTGAAAACTAGGATGAAAGAACATCGCAACAACATAAAAAGAAACGCGTCACAATTATCAGTCATATCGGAACATAGATTATTGAACCATGAATTTAATTGGGAGGATGTAAAAGTCTTAGACGAGGAGCCTTTTTTAGGTAAACGTTTGATATCCGAAATGATCCACATAAAACGTCAGAGGAATAGTTTAAATTTACATAGTGACACTGATAAATTAAACGAGAATCTTGATCTGTTAATAGAAAAATTTACCAAAATCTAGCTTTGTTGATTTTACATAGCCGGGTTTTTTGTTAGACTTTTGACATGAGTGCCGATTAGTTTAGTTGTTTTTATTTTTATTTTTATTTTCATATTTTATTTTTATATTTGTTTTTTGCGTATATATGTATCGACTGTGTCGAGGTAGAATACCGCACAGTCGTTAGAGTGATGTGTCACGTGTAGCATCGTCTTCTCTCTGTTTTTGCTGTCGGGGTGAGTGTTCTTCCCGGTTCTTAATTTTTAATTCTTGTGAATTGTTCTACGTTTAATTTATACCATGTTGATTAGTGTTGGTAAGGGAGTCACTGCTCCGCTTCCTTCCTGACGATGGTCACCGTTAGGGAGACACTCCGACGGCCGGACGGTTTGAATAGGGAGGAGAATGATATTTAATTTATTTGCGGATTGTATGTATATGAGTTTTATAATTTTCTGATTGTACCGATTATCTTCTATTTTGTTTCTTTGTATTTTGCAGCTACTGAAGAAGACCCGAAGTGGGTCGAAACGTTTAGAATTTAATAAATGAGTTTGACTTGAGATCTCATTTTAATTTATTAATTTTGTGCATGTCATCCGCATAGGCTCCGATTGCCGTCGAGATTTTATTTTTATTGTAACACAATAATTCGAGCCGAGATTAATAGTTTTTTTATATAATTTTTATATTTGTTTTATTAAACAGTATGTTAATTTTATTATGCAAATCTTTGTTTATATATATTAAGATCTTTATAATGCGGAATAAGATTATTATTTATTTAATTATATTATAATTAATGAAACGATATTTGTTTTAGATGAGAGACAGTGCGATAAATTACATATACGCCCGAATTATGATCCGGATTTATTTTCGCAACAAACAAATCCAAAGACAGAAGCAGTATTTTGAAAGTCTTTTGTTCTAATCTGTGAGTGTAAAAAAGAAATTGCAGCTTTGCATACGTGAACATACATCATATGAATAATTTTTTTATATTGTACGTATTATTACTTCTACTGCTTTAAATATTGTTTATTTAGATGTATTACTATCCGATGCCTTTATATTTACATTTATAAAACTATGACTGCATGAATCAAGATTTTTATTTTTTTTTTTGCGATCTTGTTTGAAGTAGTTGAACTATATATAATTACTGTAATTAATTAATTTGTACATTTAATATTATTAATTATGTAGAATTTGTGATGGATTAGCATTTTCTTAGTTTACAATAAATAACATGACAATTCTCTCTCTCTCTCTCTCTCTCTCTTCGTAATGTAAATCCACATTTTAATTTTAAAAAGTTATTAATATTAATATTAATATTTTTAAAATTATATAGCATAACTTTAAAATTGTAGAAACGGAAATTGTAGAAATTTTAATATTATAAAATTATTTTATTATTTTATTTAGCTTTCCATTATTTCGTTTCTTACTATTCTTAATGATAAATGTCGAATCTCTTTTAGCAAAGTAAAATTTGTACAACAATTTTGTAACATGAACAAAAAATACAAAAAAGATCAAAAAACAATTAAAATATTTTAAAATCTTTCTGTAGTTCATCGATTAGAATATGAAAACGGAGCTGCTATGTAATATACGCACATATTTACGTATACTTAATTCAAGATTCGTAATATTCAAATAACTTTTGACCCATAAAAATTTATCGAATAAAATGCCTTTAAAATTGAAAAATATTATAATTTACACATAAAAGAAAATAAATATCAGACTAAACACATGTCTGTGTGTGTAAATTTGTAGTACGCATTTTTAAAAGATATTTATGATTGATTTAATACTTTCATTGATATTTGAGTAATTGTGACATTTAACATATAATACTGTAAAAAAGAAGAATCAATTATTAATTTCTTCAGAGATTTAAATAAAAATTAATAATAATTTAATTTAATTTTTACTTATACAATTAAAATCAATTTAATGTTTTACATATTGCCAAAAATATAAAATTGACAAGTATAAAAGAGTATCACTGCATTGGAAATATTATTAAATAAAAAATATTTTTATTTTTATACTGCTATATAAATTATTTATATGATACAAATAAATATTTATCTGTTTTGAAAAGAATTTTCTTACATCAAACAATAAATGTTTTTCACATTTAATCGATATTATTAGTTTCAAATAAATGATTATTATTATAAAAGAGTATTGAGATCGGAAAGTCACAATTTATATTCAAAATTGTATTCTATTCTGGCTTTATTCTCACAGTTTATTTATTTAGTATATAAATAATTTGAAAAATAAGTAAAACAAATTTTGAAAAACATTTTGTATTAACTTTTTACAAAAATGTTATATAAAAATACTAATTTTATCAGTTATAAATCTTTATAGTTTGGCGCATAGAGTACGATGTAACAAACAATCAAAGTATTAAAATTTTAAAATTAGAAAAAATTGATATAAAAAGAGAAAAACATAGCACATATCGCGATTAATAAGGAATCGCGCGCGCGATTATAATATTTACTATATTATAATATATACTTATACATACAGGAGTAGGTACAGTATAAAGACACAGTATTGTACATAAGGACATGTATAATTAAATGTATGTTTCTAACAAAACAATATAAAGTGTCCCATTTTAAATTAGGTATTGTTGTAATTTCATAACCAAAATTTCTCTTCCGAAAAATATACTTTATACATTATTTATAAAATTTAGAAAAAGCGCGTCGCGTCGTAAATATATGGTCTTATTTCAGATGGAACATTGTTGAGATTTGATAATTATCTTTATTTTTTAAACGTTTTATGTTCTTTTCTGACATAAATATGAAACATCATATAATGTATTTATCTTCCAATATTATTTTATCAAAATAATTTTTTGCACAAAACAATGTGGATAAATTGATTGGTATAAAAAAACATTCCAGTGATTTAAAAAATTGCAATTTATAGCAATGTGCAACTGCATACATTTATATTAAATAATGACATATTTATACTAATTGAATTATTAAAATAAAATTATCGAAGGATGAGTATATGACGAGAAATTACACAATATTTTTAGCAAAAATGTTTGTTGAAATAAGTCATATAAATGTGTATAAACAATGCCTAATTATTTGATTAAGTGGACAAAAGTTAAATGTGCTAAATTAAATCAACCGTTACACACAAATGCCGCCATACACCCAAATATATATATATATATATATATATATATATATATATAACGACCTCAGAAGTTTTGATTTAACACATCATATTTAGCATGAAGACACGTCCAGAGAATCAGTCAGTCTTTCGTGGTCTTTCGAACCACGTCGCCGTAGATATAATATACTTTTAATAAAGTGTGTGAATATATTATATTCTTCCAACATTGCATACTTCTAAAGCATTAATTTGCTGCAGTTTATTTTTAAAACAATATATAGTTTTAATCAATATAGTTTTCCAATTAACATTCTGTTTCGAAATATTCGGTAAGTCAGAAGAACTTTTATACATATAAAACATGTGTCTATAAATGCAAGAAAATTTAATCATTTGGTAGGACGGAATTTTATAGAATTTCCAACATATGTATAGGAATAAAGAGAATAGTTTTATTCAAAATTATTTGTAAATTTCAATCCAGAGATATATATAATTTAAAATAATTCTATTTGTCCTTTCTTCAGCGAGTTCGCTGACAATGAGTGACATGTTATCAATTCTTTTGCCTATATCGGTTAGGCTGTCCGTTGTTATATTTTGCTTGTTTTGATACTTTGTCTTTACTTGTTTATTATGATTCTTTCGCTCGTTGTCATATATATACATATATTCGATCGCTGACTTTCGTTCTCAATTCGATTTAATATATCAAATAAAATTGAAATATAAAATGAATTTTATCGCCACAGTTAAAATAATCTTGAACTCACAATAGTTTGTTGTCGAATAAATAATTTTTGAAACTAAAAAATACTGTAATTAACAGATAATGAATATTATAATAAATACTTTTAAATGTTCTTTTATTACTAGATTATTAAAATTCTATTTTAAAAATTTCTCGTATTTTTTATTATTTATAAAAAATATCTGTGTGTATTTTAATACTTACTTGTGATGTCAATATATTTAAGGTTGTATAGTCCTTGGCTATTATTTTATCACGGTTCGACAAGAAGTTTCATTCGAATAATATGTTCACAGTTTTTAATTTTAAGTACACTTGAGAAGGACCAAAACCCATGGTCGAAACGTTGGGTGGTGATTATTAAATATTCATTAGTCAGTAATGGTCGTAAAAATTAATTATCCTGTCAAATATATTAAAATTAAAAATGATCAAAAGTTAATTTTTACTTATTATTAAGTTGTATTTCTCAAACGTATTAGTATTCTACTATCAGTATATATACAAAATAGATATCAAAATAGAAATTCGGCTAATTAAAATTATCATTATTTTTATAGCATCAAGCAACTGTCATCGCAAAAATTAACAATTTGACAATTGTAAAATGAATAATAATATCAAAAGCGTGCGCCAAGCGCGCTATTGTGTCGTCTAGTAATTTATAAAAGACATCAATACTATATTTAATTTCTCTATTTGTCCTTTGCTTACAGTGTGTTTTACAGACTTAAATAAATTTTTCGACACGATGATATTTCTACTATTAATTAGCGGAATAATGTATATCGTTGGGACGGCTTCTACTCCTAATCAATCGTCTTTATGCTATCAACCATCAAAATATATAAAACCAAATCATTACGATATCATGTTTATATCATGTATAGAAGAAAACATTTTCTATGGAGAATACAATATCAGCATCAACATTCTTAACAAAACGCAACATATATTAATCAACAACATACATTCAGAAAAATTATATTTTGAAAATATAATTTAATTAAAAATCTAGAAAAACATCATGAGAATATTAAGTATACAGTTTATAAACCGACATATGATATTCAAGAAGACATAATTGACCTTTATTTTAAGGATAAGTTATTACCAGGAAATTACACTTTATATATTAAATATTTTGGTTTTACTGATGAAGTCTTTAGAATTTTCGATGTAAAAAAAAAAATTGCGTAAGTAAATAATATGTTTATTAAAATCAATGTGCAATGTGCAATTACATAAAATCTCGTAATTAATATATATTATTTTTGTATTAAATGTTTCAAAAATTATTATATATCATGCAATTTAAATATAAAGACTACTAATTTTATACTTTAATGCATATTATTACATTTACATTTAAACATTTTTAAATTCCAACATTTTGATGCTTGTTAAAAATGTTTCATTCATATATGTTTTTAAAATGTATAGTTTGGTAGCTGCTACTCATTTCCATATAATAGGCGCTCGACAATTGTCTTCATGTTGGAGTCAACAGTATTTATTGTTAGAAGCAACTTTTAACATATCTATAGGATGTAATCAATGCACGGCTTTGTCAAATATGCCATTGCAAAATACAGAAAAAAACAAGCACAATATATTATTGAAACGCTTCGATACCACACCTGCAATGTCGCCGTATCTTGCAACAATAATTGTATCCAATTACTTATTACGTGTTGATAATTATACTCAAAACATTGAAATGTGGTGCAGATACGAATCTTTATTTCACATGGAATTTGCAAAGAATGTAGCTGAAGAAATCACGTTGTTGTTCAAAGATACATGGAAACAACGTTCGAACAATATTTCGAAAGTGACTCATGTTGCAATTCCAAATTTCCCTGATAATGGCATAATAGTTTTTGGACTTGTTTTGTATAAGTAAGTACAAGTGCTTAAAATTACATTAAAAGTAAAATTATATATTAGTATGCAAAATTATAAAACTGAAAAACATGTAGGTATATATTTTGTTTCTGTAAACGTGCAAAAGTATAAGATATTGTGAAAACAACAATTTTAAGTAGTGAAAATTAAGTTTATTCGTATTATAATTCAAAATGTTGCACTTTATTGTTCTAATATATACATACATAAAGGTAAAAATTTTTATGTTATATCGTATCTCCTAAGGTAAATTTAAAATTGTAATAAAGCTAT